GATCAGGAGGTACCAAACCAAGGGCACCGAGAACAATGGGGAGCCTGACGACAGTGTACTTGGGATGCAAGCGAGACATTTCAAAGGCGAGGTCCGCATATTTATCATGCTTTTCCTTAATCTTGCCAATCACATTGGTGTCAAAAGGGACAGAAAATTCAATGATATAAATAAATTCATTGGCTCTATCAAAAAGGACAAGATCAGGTGTGTTAGCTGGAATTCTTCTGAGGCTGTATATGGGCCTATTCCACAGAAGTTTGAAAGCATCATTTTCCATGACGCCCTGGACATGTTCAGGGTCGTACCATGGATGGACCTCGGAGTCAAAGCCACAGGCATGTCGGAGACGGTAGTAAAAGCAACGAGCCATGCCATCATGTCGTTTAAGATATGCTGTTTGTGCCAAGGAAGGGCATCCACTGACAAGGTGTTGGACAGTCTCTGTAAATTCATTGCAAAGTCGACATTTAATGTTAATATTCTCTTTAAGAATCACATTTAGGCGATTACGAGTGGGAAGTGACTGGTCCTGAGCAGCAAAAGGTATTATTATTATTATTACTATTATTATAGGATATTTATATAGCGCGCATATCCACGCAACTAGTGCACGCTCAAGGCGCTTGAGAGTTCCCTTGATCAACGAATGTCTTTTTTCTGGCATTCTTTTTTTTTAACCAACCCAACTCCCTGGGGAGTATTCCCTCATTACCTCTCTACACCTCTGTAATCACTATATCATGGAATATCCCTGAATCTCTTTGTCGTAACACTTTCGATCCTGTGGTTTGGCTGATTGAGTGGCATCAGCCAGCTCGGAATAACTTACCAATCCAGGATTTTCCTTGTAGACGGATGCTTGAATATATCTTGTGTATGCTGATACGTATGATAATAACGTTCATTGAAGAAATTGATGCACGTGTGTATAAGTGTCTCCCCCAAACACCCTGTAGCGCATGACCAGAAGCAAACACACGTATTTTTACATGTGCAATTTGTGCACGTGCCACATATCAGTTTTAATCTCCACTGGTTACAATTTTCGACATCTTTCTGTCACTATAGTACGAAGAAAATTATCAGATGACAAATTGGTATGTGTAACCCCAACCCCAGTATGTTCTTTATAGCAGTTGTTCGGGAATTGAATGTCCACTACACAGTTTTCTGCCGTTTGGTCGGAATATTGAGGGAAACCAATGAGGTGGTGAATGATTGCCCAGTGTCTGGACGACTCAGGGTGACGTAAAGACAGTATCAATAATAATGAAATAATAAGTGCATTAGTTATGCGCTATTTTCCATCCGTTGCTGTTGCTCAAATCTTATGTTTATTATCCCGGAAAGCCCAAGCTGCCTGTGAGGTGCTGCAAGATTAATAGTCACATGACTTTATCACACTTGATACCCATTTTCTGCTGGGTGAACAGAGGCAATTTTGAACAAACTCACTTGCCTTAGGTGAGACCACATGTATCGCATGTGCTTCGTTCTGGGGCAAGTTCGAAATCTTAGAAACTCTCAGGAGTCAAGCTGCCAAACAAGGTCACCCATCCTAGGACTCTCCGCGCTCAACCATGCTTAACTTCAACTGATTTGTGACCTGAGCTCTATGCACAAGGCTCAAATGATGTCAAGCTCGGTTCTGAAGCACCACTTGGTACCATTTCATCGGGTCTCTACAAAAACAGTCCGGAATTGCCTGAGGAGAGTCGGTTACAACTCTAGAAGGGTCATGAAACGTCCTCTACTGAGCGATCATTAAACAGGCATGCTTGGCTTGGTGTTTACCACGGGAACACTGGAATCTGAACACTTGGCAAAGAAAAGCAGCATGAAGTTAGAAACGGATTGGGGATTGGATATTCGAATCCCGAATCTGAATTTTTTGTTCACATTGGGGACTCGAATCCCGAATCGTATTTGTTTTTCTTCATATTCGGGTTTTTTCTTTGCAGATTCGGCACTCGGCATTCGTCATTTGGTATTCGGTATACACTTTGCACCTTCATCTGTCAAACTTATATATATATCCTCGACGTTGCCGTGCACCTTCCGAGATAGTGAACCGGTCTGAAGCTCTTCCCTGCCTGCAGGCGTCAACCCTTGATGACGATCGAAGAAAGACGAATCAAGTCAAAACATTGATTACGCAACTGTCTCGTTTCCTGCTGACTCGGTTCCGTCCTATTGCGCAGCTTAGAACAATAACCAGTCCAGAATTTTGAGACCAATTCATTCAACTGGATATATAAATATTTATCAGTACTGTATTATTTGATACATCTAAGCACTTGTAGTTATCGGTTAATCCTTTGATCGAGGTTTGTTTTTGTAACTCAGCTGATAATCCCTCTTGCTGCACTTCCATGCGCATATTACATAAGATGTAATACATTTGTCACATCAGACCTTAATTTATAATGTTGAGTATTTACTCCAGACACAAGAAATGCCAAATGGGAACCTTTGTCGGGTAATCTGAGTGGTGTTACCACCAATTATACCTGCTATAAATTCATTAACTGACCATCGAATGAATGATGACAAATAACATGTGCAGGTTTACCACCAAACACGGGTTACAGAAAGGGAGTAGTAATCGCTGTATTGCATGCAGTTTTTATTGCATGACAAAAACCTATAGGCTGACACTGTTTTGAGGATACGAATTTACCTAAGTAATAGGTCGAGTGAGCAGGTACCGAACAGCCTGCAGGTTGGTTTCGTGATTAGACTGTTGGCGAGAAACATTAATCGCTCTGGATCATAGGCCCTTTAACATTCGGGTTTCGGGATCTGAATCCCGAATCTGAATATTTTTTTCATATTCGGGATTCGAATCCCCACTCTGAACAAAAAAATCAGATTCGGGATTCGATTCCCCAATACCCAATCCCGAACCCGTTTCTAACTTCATGTTCCCCCCCAAAGAAAACACTTGTCTGATGAAAACCGATTTTTTTAATGGTGGACGTTTAAGAGTTCGGAGGCAGAAACGCATTCAAACCAACTGTTGCCTTTCGTGGAGGTTTCGTCATGGTATGTGGATGTGTCTCTCAGGACTATAAACCTGGCGTTGGTCAGTATCCAGGACATGCAGGATCCAGTTGGATCAAGTGTGGATGACAACCCTAGGCCACATCGTCTTCCTCGCACAGTGACAGCTTTCATTCAGACCAATAGAGTGACCCACCCACCGTGAGTCCAGACCTGAACCCACAGGAGCAGATTGGGGTTATATTGGACCACGGTTACAACAAGCACGTGTACCACCTGCTGCACATCTGCGTGAATTGGAAGCAGCTTTACACCAAATATGGCGACAGTTTCCTCTGCAACGGATACGACGATTGACGGAGTGAGTGAGTGAGGAAGTTTAGTTTTACGCCGCTTTTAGCAATATTCCAGCAATATCACGACGGGGTACACCAGAAATGGGCTTCACACATTGTACCCATGTAGGGAATCGAACCCGGGTCTTCGGCGTGACGAGCGAACGCTTTTGACCACTAGGCTACCCCACCGTCCCCGATGGACGAAGGGTACGGGCAGTTATACAAGCTCGTTCCCAGGTTTACAACTACACGTTTTATATTCTCACCACATACATGTTGTCTGATCGTCTCTCCAGCTAGACAATTGTAACATGATCATTCTGAGCCAAATACATTCTTGTGGCCAAGACATTCAGCTTTACCAAGGACCTGTGCATGCACACCACTGATGGTAGCCGAAACATACAAACTTGTAACAACATTTCCAGGTGTATATATATATTTAACAGACTTTTTCCACATTTCCGATGATCAAGTATGGACTCGATCATTAACAGGTCGCTGTTTTTATCGCTGGCATGTAGCGATACAAGCCGTCTGAGTATTGCTTCCTCGAAACCAACAAGCACGCTTTTGGTACTGGCAGTACTAGAACAGAAACGGCAGCCTTGCGAGGCACACGCCTGTCCATGACACATTACCCTTATTCATCATCATTCTTTGTTGTAGTGTGGCCTCACAGAGCTTTACGTCCACTACAAATGCCCCATACATCCGTCGATTCTCTAGGTTGTCGCCTTCCGTTCGTGTGTGTATCCAGTATAGGAATGGTATCGGAAATGTACTTTCTATCTCGAAATTGATAGTTCCAAGGTGATTAACCAACCATTTGTGTTGCAAAATAAAGGTTTCCTTTTTTCACTGATTCAACATTTACGAGATCAGTGTGTAGCCAATCAGAAACTAGATAACATAATACAGACGTCATACAACATGTGACAAGACAGTGCGTTGAAGGATCCATCGGATACAGAAACCTTCATCAACGCATACTAAAACTCGTGTGGACACAAATAGCTGAGCCATTAGCTCGTTGATATCGGCTTGTGTGACGTGGGACTGACAATCTAAACTGGATTGGAGAGCGGAGAGGGGATGAGGGACGTAACCTCGTGGTCAAAACGTTGTTCGCTCGTCACGTCGAAGACCCGGGTCCTATCACAGGCCCTCGTGTCTTTGCGAGAATTAAAGATTTTTAAAGGATATTTAAAAATTTGAGATGACCCCCGACTCGAAATGCTCCACAGTACAATACGTTATGATGTATTGTACTGTGAAGCATTTCGAGTCGGGGGTCATCTCAAAAACAATATTTTAAAAATCTTTAATCCTCGCAAAGATACGAGGGCCTGTGATAGGCCTGTGTGCCCTATTCCCAACATGGTTTCACGGAGCGAAGTCCATCTCCAGTGATCCCGGTCGTTGTATTGCTAATCTCTCTCGTACTGGTTTGTGTTTTGCCTCTGTAATTACCTTTGGATACGAGTCATGTTAAGTGCTGAAATAAAAACGTTGTCTGACTTCATCAGAGAACGACCAATAGTGATTAGAATAGACAGATTTACATTAGAGCTTAACCTCCAAATCTAAAAATATCCATAGTTGAGCTGTCACCCGCAGAGAGTCCATGTTTTTCCTACACTGACAAAAACATTCTGTTTGATTCTCACTGAAAATAGAGAAAGCGCATTGTCAAGGAGATTTGGCTATACCTTCTCAAAGCAAATCAAGGGGGTAGGGTTTACAAAGACATTTCTGTTTTCTTTCTTACTAAAAAAAGGATGCAGATTTTCAAAGTATATCCACTGTCACAAAAAATATAAATATTCTTTGATCCGCTGAATAGCAATACACCACAAAGAGAATAGTTACTGATCAAAATGTGGTGTAGGGGGTCAACATGTTTGCTTTCATCTTTAATAGGGTCCATAAGTAGGACTTTAGGTTCGTGAGACCTTAGTACTTCCGGTGACAAACAACGTCTCATACCTTTTCGAATGGCCTCAGGGATGTCAGTTAACAGTAAGGAACCGATAATCCTTGCAGGAATAACAAATTCCGATCTAACTATCCCCAAATTAGCCAACTATTACGACTGTCAACAAACATGGTTGTACCAGGTCTAGTAAAGTCATATTTGGCGGTCGCGCAAGTTGGAACCAGAACTGGTTCCACCGGAAATCTGGTACCGGAAGTAAGCTGGGTCCTGTCTCGCATATCGCAAATTGGCGCGCAAAGGGAGTCGGGAAGCAGCTTGGTACCGGAAGTAGCGCGCGACTTACAGGCCCAGGAAACATGTACATGTAGTCGTGTATCCGACGAATTCCTCCAACAAGTTAATGTCAAAGTGGAGCATTACGTGTTCTAATCAAAGCCCCAGAAAATTCCAAAATTAGCAACACATGCTGTTGTACACGTTGAGTTAACATGACAGGAATGGGCGCTACTCCAACCGTCTCGGTGTCTCATCTAAATTGCTACCGTGATTTTTTCCCTATTCTTTTTCATTCTGGAAAACATGGAAATGGCAGTTTAATGTGTCAGTTACAGACCTAAATCAGTGACATTAGTCACTCAGACGGAAATGGAAATGTATATATGTAAAGTATATGTCCCTGTTGCAAATTTTATAGAAGTATGCTTATAGCAAAACAAATAATGCAAATTTTATAGAAGTATGTTTATAGCAAAACAGATAATGCAAATTTTATAGAAGTATGTTTATAGCAAAACAGATAATGCAAATTTTATAGAAGTATGTTTATAGCAAAACAGATAATGCAAATTTTATAGAAGTATGTTTATAGCAAAACAGATAATGTAAATTTTATAGAAGTATGTTTATAGCAAAACAGATAATGCAAATTTTATAGAAGTATGTTTATAGCAAAACATAATTTCGATTATGTCGGAAATAGATCTGGAGGTCTCTGCATGACAATAATAAAAGTAGGATACGAAGAGAGACAACATGTTGCGCCAGATGAAATAGTCATTTTGATGGTCCTTGGCGTTTTTTAACAACAGCGTTTCTTCGCTAAAAATACAAACCATTTTGTAAATGTATTTTTACATATTCACAGGGTTCACTATGACGTTTAACGTCTGCAAGCTGCGTCACTCAATAACATTTGTTCACCATTATGAAACTGATATGCCGTTACATTACTGAGTGAGTGAATTTACTTTTTACGCCGCACCACCCGATCCCGTTAGTCGCCTCTTACAACAAGCATGTGTTACTGAAGGCTCTTTCTAACCCGGACCTTCACGGGTTTCGTTACATTGCTGTATTTCCTTAAAAGGGGGCATTAAATCCAACTCTCTCATCCGGACACTGATGGCAGACGGAAAGCCGGACGCCGGACGCCATGTAGTTGCATACGTTCAGCTGCTGGTGTCTAGTCTATGTCCTTCGCAAGAAGAATAACAAACATCTCTCACAGATAGACCTGTAACCTGAGATTACTACAGCAGATACTAGAGTTACTATATATACTTAACATACAGAGTGCTGCCAGCTCTTCTCTCCATGTTCCCGGGCTCTCCCCGTCGAAGGCCTCAGGTCTGGTGTAGGAGGCTGGAGCAGCTATATTTATACTGAAGCAGCTTAAAAAACCCCGTTTGTACCTGAAGCCGGCAAGCTGGCGAGAAACACTTCCAGCGTGTCTTATTCCCGTAGATATACATTGCACACTGGACAGCTGGACTTTCATCGTGATCATACTGACTCTTTTCGGATCTGAAAGGGTCATCACAACCAATTTATATGATTGTTAAAACGGGCAGCAGTACTTGTGATTAACGCATCTTTGAACTGTATGTCAGTTATGTCTTTCTGTTTTATGAGACGGTGGAAGATTATTCGTTGGACCTCTGCCGCGTCATTCGATTAACTTTAAAATATGGTACTTTTTGTTTCCCTGCCTGGAACTCGGCAATAACTAAAGAACTGGTTGGCTCCATGTTTAAGTCCGGCATGCTATCTCAGTGGGCTAGCACTTTTAAATCGGGTTTACTAGTGCGAACTACTACAAGCAGGAGCACGCACATACGCGCACGCACGTTTCGTCGCGGAACGCCCCAAAGTCGACTTAGGTCTCATACATGTGGAGTTAGTGAGTGAGTGAGTGGGCGAGGTGTTACAATATCAGATCAGGGGTCATCAGAAACTGACCCAGCACACTGTTCAGTTTTCAACGAATCAGAGTGAGGAACGAACCCTTTTAGACTGAGGAGAGAACGCTTTAACCAGTAGGCTACCCAACCGCTAGTTTCAAAGTTGCCTGAAACGTGAGCGTGGTGTCGGGGTTTGCGCATATTACATATTCCCATATCAAATCTGTAGAGTAGTCAGAGTTACGATGGGTACCAAAACAGTTACATTTTAATTATGGTATAAATGGTAACCACAAGATAACACAGCCAGCTAATAGTTGTCGAGGATTTGAAAGGGAAATCAGTAGCCTCTGGTAGTGAAACCGGTTCCATGGTACATTTTAAATTTCTTTAAGTGACATCAGTTGTGAAGTCCTCTTCCTTTACGTATTGCAAGTTCTCTTCTTTACGTATTGCAAGTCCTCTTTCTTTTCGTATTGCAAGTACACTTTCATTATGCATTATAAGTTTCGAATTCGTCTTTCTTTGCGTATTGCAAGTTCTCTTTCTTTACGTATTGCAAGTTTTGAAGTCCTCTTTCTTTTCGTATTGCAAGTACACTTTCATTATGCATTATAAGTTTCGAATTCGTCTTTCTTTGCGTATTGCAAGTTCTCTTTCTTTACGTATTGCAAGTTTTGAAGTCCTCTTTCTTTTCGTATTGCAAGTACACTTTCATTATGCATTATAAGTTTTCGAATTCGTTCTTTGCGTATTGCAAGTTCTCTTTTCTTTACGTATTGCAAGTTTTGAAGTCCTCTTTCATTTCGTATTGCAAGTATAACTTTCATTATGCATTATAATCGTCTTTCGTCTTTGCAAGTTCTTTACGTATTGCAAGTTTTCTCTTTCTTTACGTATTGCAAGTAAGTTTTGAAGGAATTCGTCTTTCTTCATGCATCAAGAATGTTGAAGTCCCCTCTTCGACGTTATTCGACGTATTACACGTTTTGAAAACTTCTTAGCTTAAGTGTAACTATCTTTGATCTACTCTTTCTTCTTACATAAAGAATTTGAACTTTGAAGTAATCTTTATATACTATTACAAGCATATAGAGGAATATGTGTACATAGCAGCTAGTGGGCTCAATAGAGATACATTAAGTACACTGAATATCAATATCAGTTATATGTTTTGGTTAAATAGTCATTCAGGGTTAAATTCAGGGATGAGAGGAAACCATTTGACTAAAAAGCTTTCAACATTATTATTTCTTCTGGAGATGAATGTTTCAGTGGTAAATATGACTTTCAATATCCTTAACTAATAATCAAATTTTGGAATTGTTTTTTCAAAGAGCAAGTATAAATATACCTCTTAGCAGATAAGATTATGTGATTCAGTAATGGGTTCTTACCTATAAAGCCAAACTAGATCAAAGGTTTTGTCAAATTAAGTGTTTGGATACAAATATCAAAAATCAAAAGCCAATCAAAATCAATAGAATCAAATAATGTTTCCCATTTTTGGCATATGTGAGGTTTAACATTTTGAGATAACAATTTATCATAGAATAATCTTGAACATTTTCTTGGGGATATGAAATCCTTTTGGAGAGAATTTATAGCGAGGTAATTAATGTTTATATATCTATATTCCTTTAAAGTCTTTTCCCAAGGTTCAGGTAAAATATATATAACATATCCAAGATCTAAGTGAGTACCTTTTATATCAAATTTAAGCTTCAATTGATTAAAGGATATAAACCCATGTTCATAACAAAGATCTTTGATTGTCAAGATTCCACTTTTAGCCCAGTGACTAATGATGTGATTTGAGGTTTTGAAATTGTTATTCAGCTATAAAGGTTGGGATAAGATTTCATTAATTTTCTCTGCATCTATAGTATTTTTGCTACAATATAAATTCCATTCTTTTAATACATCTTTCAAAAAGGATTATCAACTGCAACTATATTCTGAAAATTTGCTCCATATTTTAGCATATCCTTAAAAGGGAAATTGCATGGGTTACCAGAAACCCCTCTACAGTTATCTAACAGTACACTGATAGTCTAAGAGACTGCTTAGGGTGGGGTGGGGTGGGTACCCAAGGTATGTTTCTGGTACCATAACGGTGAGTCGGGTTTTACGCCGCTTTTAGCAATATTCCAGTAATATCACAGCGAGGGACAGAAGAATTATGCTTCACACATTGTACCCTTCAGGGGAATTGAACCCGGGACTTCGGCGTGATAAGCGAACGCTTGAGCTACTATTCTACCAAACTGCCTCTCAATGGCAGCCGACAACGGACGCACTATAGTCACATGAATACACGGGAAATTGGCGAGAATGGTAGACATGTCCTTCGAGACAAAAACATTTTTTCAACACATGCAATTTCATCCCTCTCGACAACAAATCTGACTGGAGAAATTCGTTTTTCGAGATTTTCAGTGGTACCTTTTCATTTTCATGCAAACCAGAATATTTTTTTAAGGAAAATACATTAAACCTGTCTATTCAGTTCACATGCAAAAATACAATTTAGTTTTCGTACGTTCTGCTTTACATTGACTTTACACTGACTGTAAGTGAGAGATCCTTTATACTGCCTTCCGCGGACACCTGTTGTTAGTACAATTTGATAGTGAGTGATAAACACATGATATTGTCAAATTCGCACCATCAGCTTTGAGCAAACATGTCATATGATTATGGCTTTGTGGCTTATGTTCCCTAATATGAATAGTTTAAAAATCTCACAATTATCAGATATGTGGGGGAATATGTTCGAGTACCCAATGAGTATCGAAGGTGTCGAGTTACAAGTAAGGTTTAGTTTACAGTAAGGTTGAGTGCCATCCAAGCGTTGAACGTATGAACCACTAGCTCATTGAACAATATTTTAAGTTTGAGTGAGTGTGTGAGTGAGTGAGTGAGTGACGGGCTATACGCCGCTTTTAGCAATATTCCAGCAATATCAAGGCGGGGGACACCAGAAATGGGCTTCACATATTGTACCCATGTAGGGAATCAAACCCCTGTTTTCGGCTTGACGACCGAAGGTTTTCACTGCTTAGCTACCTCTCCGCTCTTAAAGGTTTGACGTGCGGTAGTTAAAATAATGGCCACTGTACCTTAAACAATATTCACCAACGAACCCATAATCCTCCCCACTAGATAGTATTAATAACTGCAGTTAAACAGTCTACAGAACAACGGAATTATAATGGTATGAGAACAACGGAATTATGATGGTATGAGAACAACGGAATTATAATGGTATGAGAACAACGGAATTATAATGGTATGAGAACAACGGAATTATGATGGTATGAGAACAACGGAATTATAATGGTGAACAACGGAATTATAATGGTATGAGAACAACGGAATTATAATGGTATGAGAACAACGGAATTATAATGGTATGAGATCAACGGAATTATAATGGTATGAGAACAACGGAATTATAATGGTATGAGAACAACGGAATTATAATGGTATGAGAACAACGGAATTATGATGGTATGAGAACAACGGAATTATAATGGTATGAGAACAACGGAATTATAATGGTATTAGAACAACCTTCTGCTGAATGTCAGCGTAATCCAACTTTTGTTACTTTCAAGTCACAATATGACATCTGTAATATCATTCTGAAGGTCATGTCTCACATAAAAACACACAAAATTAATTTAAAAAATGTTTTAATGAGCGATATTTCCACAGCTGGACAGTGTTGAGCAAGACACAATACCGTCATTCCATTAAAATCTTCCTGAATGCCTCGGCATCATCTCTTGAAATTTACTGCCATTTTTCCAAGTCATATTCTATGTACAATTTAAAGCACATATAAATCTTTCAGCAAAAAACAAAATGAACAACATACATGTATAATATGTACCTGTGACATCATCCTCCTTTATCAGGGGTATTCAGCACTATGACTATGTACCTTGATAAATGAGGATGCAGAGAGGCATATTTTGTGTCTTCTCACAAAATCTACCCGTTAGCTCCTGGAAATAACAGAGCAATCACCAAATATGTGTATATAAGAACCCAAGGATATTATGCACACATCAAATTAATAGTTTCAAAAATTCAAAGTTAACTGATCAGCATCGGGCAATGGCGTACCGAAGCACCCTATATGCCACAACGGCAACAGTTGCTTTTTCAGGATTACTAGCATTGCATTTTCTTCGAATAGGTAAACAATGCAATGTATACATGGTTTTGGAATATATCCAAATGCTGACGATGAAAGGAAAAATGGGTCTAATCGAACTATTGCATATTGTTCTATCAGCATGCTTTGGTGTACAGTTCAATCTTATCCTAATAAGACAAATTATGCCTCTCTAGTATTCAAACAAAGGGTTTTTCACAACAAGAAAATAATATATTTAACAGAGTGTAGGAATTACGTTCCCCGTATCACAAACATTGAACAAGCTGAAAAGTTAACAGATGAATACTTCAAGGTCAAAGATGAATAGCGAATACCCATTCCGTGATTTTGGCAAATGAGGGACCAGTCATGAGGGTATGGTGGGTGTTGGGGTGTGTTGGTGTGTGGGTGTTGGGGTGTGTGGGTGGTAGAGGTAGGAAAGGTCACCTGCAGAAAAGTTCATTCATGGCGCCGAACCAATGAACGAATTGCTTCTCTGAACGGCCAAGAAAATCGGACCACATGTCATACAGTATGTCTCCTCCATTTTGGAAAGAATCTATCTGCCCTCCCCCGACTATTCTACAGTCGGCCTTTAATGATGATTCGTTAGCGTATTATTGGAAGTTTTGTTTTGAGTGAACAAACTGATGATGATATTGCATTGGATCTGTTTCCTGTTTGGTTTGGTTACAGTTGAGTACAACGCAAACCTCCTTTCGGGACAAATAGTATCCCGTTAATAAACCAGAAATCCGCTAATATTGACGATTGCAATGAGGTGGCTACGACACAAGGTTCCAATATTTAAAATGTAGTACAACAAAAATGACCATTGACATACATATGGTGGTACGTTACAGAACATTATGTAACTTAAGGTTACAGCACACGGTGGCGTGCCACAGCCGATGTACTCAGCCAATCATGTTGCTGGAATTTTTAAAGTCAACCAATCCAATGTGTCAATATTATGCCTGAACACATGTAAGCATATTTTTCATTGAATACGATTTTTCTTTCATGAAAACCTCAACACTATGTTCATTTGGTTCATTCTGTTTGCCACGCCATGAACAACTAATTCAATTTGGAAATCTTAAAAAAGTTACAAATTTAAACGAGTCCTTCATGTCATGGGTAAGGTTTTTAATAAACAATTTTAGACTTCGGTACGCTCATAGTGTATTAGTATATAAAACGAAAATACCCAGAGGATGTTAAAAAATCACAAAGAGGTATCAAGGTTACTTGGGGTGGCAAAACTCAAGTGAAAATAGGTTATTTGGGGTGGCAAAACGCAGGTGAGAACATGTGTTCTTGGGGGTGGCAAACAGGTGACAACACGTGTTATTGGGGGTGGCAAAACACATATAAAAATGTGTTATTTCGGGTGGTGAAAACGTGGATATCACAAAAATGATAAATCGACACGTGTGGCCTAATGAGACGTGTTAAAGAAGTATGGCATACAACAAACCGCTGATGTCACCGATTCAGAGAAAAATCTGAACGAATCTCATCCTGATCAAATTCTCTGATACATACCATGCCCTGAACATTGAAAACACTGTCTACACAGACGAAACAATTGCTAACCTTTACTGAATACACCCAGGGTAAGATTTCACACACTGATGCCTGAGAATCGAACCCGGACTTGGCGAGGAGACCAAACACTGGAACCAGTGTTCTACCAAACTTGTAAGGATATAAGAAGCAGTCAGTGTAAGGTACGACCATATACTACCCGACATTTGGTAGGGATCATCACATATGTCATTCTATTGAAATATACACTTGACACTTTATGAAAATTATTTTTGTTTATAAAGTAAAGATCAAAATGTCCTTATCAAATGGTGAGTAATATATTATCATATTCTTTGGGTTCAGCAAAAGTGTGACACAATAGACGTTAATTAATTGACATCCACCAACAATGTGATATGAGGCAATTGGCAAGTGAAATACTGTCCATTGTTGATAGTTGTTGTATAACAGTATTGACAAATCAGTAGTTTACTCAAGGGTAATCTGATACGATCCTTAATGATCATAATATGTGGATATCATGATATCCTCAAACGACTTTTCCCTGATATGAATTTTCTAATTCCGATAAAAGGCACATTATGATATCTTATTGTTGCATAATGACTCAAGGAACTATAGATTCAAAGTTTTTCCAAGAGGACCTATCTGAATGCAGTTGTGGACACGTGGACACAGCCTATACTAACAAAAACGATTTATCTATGACACTGAAATATTTTAACATAATCACTTGAGGTAAATGTTGAAGACATATAGTCTCCAAAGCTTAAAGGCGAACACATTGAAATAATAACCAACATCATAATAATATATAATATAATTATGCAATACTGTCTGTGATAATGTCACTGCGGAAACGCATCTGAGAGAAAACATACCCTCTTTAAGACAATACAGCACCTGTGAAATAACATCCCTGTAGAATACACATTGACGTCACAGGCAAATGGCGTCACTATGACGTCACTGTTGCAGAACAGATATAAAGGCGCCAGACACATGATTCACTGGCACTTTTACAGGATATATAAACTGGAAGTTCTGTAGTAATTCACGAACATGCACACATACGAACACAGAGCACAAAGTCATGACACGAGAGCTAGACTTTCATAGTTCTGTACAGAAGCTTTCTGCTCAGGAATCTCAACCGGGTTTCAGTTCACACAACGTTTGCCGTATAGCAGGTAAAACTGGCACACTCACTAAAGCTTAATAAAACACGTGTAGGCTTGGATCATAGTTAATGTATTCGTCCATTTGGTTGTAAGGATCTGGAGTCCATACAGGACTATCATAAGCAATCGCCGCATTTAGAAGACTGATACTGGGTCCCGGATAGGTCGGCGCTGGCATCCAACAACAGCTGCCAATGTCAATAGCTGCGCGTGTCAAAAGCTGCGCAGGTCAATAACTGCGCATGTCAAAAGCTGCCAAGTCGAGAAAAATACAAGCAGATGACCAATCAACTCTAGACATTAGAATCCGTGAACCCTCCAGTTCATTTAGTAATGGCCAAGATCGATAATGGCGTTGTTTTCCTTCTCGGATAACCACTAGTTCGTGAAATTCGGATTCGTTATATCCGAAGTTGAACGTACCACTTTTAACATCGTAGCCAGAGTTTGGACGTGTCGATGACGTGACAGCAACAACTCGACTCCTTAACGCCATCTTATACGACTTCTTCACAGGATACGTCTGCTGGCTGTTCTGTGGTGAGGGGGGCGGTAGAGGCTGCAGACTTGTCCGATTTCTGTCGTCGTGGGCCGTCGGAGTAGTATCTGTGGCAGTAGGTGCAGTTGATGACCTCGTCAAAACAGTCACCAAGGTCCGTCGACAGCTTAGAGTACAGCACTGGCCGGATAGCTTTATCCACTAGAAGCAGACACAACAGGTAGTCATTGATAACCGAAAGGTTTTTAATATAGTCCTGATCAGGGTGGTCGTACGCACTGTTGTACACGAGGGTGGTGACGTGGTGGGGGAGTTCACAGATGATGAAACTCAGGACCACTGCTGAAACCAGTCTGGACATCTGTTTTTCATGTCGAGAATAACTATCTGCGAAGTAGCGCTTCCCAATGTAGTACGTCGTAGCGTATATCAACAACATCATAGTAATTGGGACAAAGCAGGAGAAGGAACTCGTCAGCCAGATCTCCTTGTCGATGTCGGCGTCCGTCGTGTACAGACAAGCGTCAATGTCATGTTCCCACACTTGGATGACTGGAACCGTCGCTAGGGCTCCCACCACCCACACCACAATACTGCAATACAAGGCATGACGTCCAGTCGGCGAGGAGTGACCCCTGTTGGTCAGCAGGATCCCTCTGAGAACGGTCATGACAACAACATGGTAAGATGCTATGTAGGCAGTGCCGTTCATGAGGTAGCGGCTGCATTTACACCACGGGGTTGACATGACGCCGACGACGCGCAGAATATCCATCATATGAGAAGGCACGGCAATAACCAGATGAAGCATGTCCGCTACCGCTAACCCACCCATGATGACGAAGACGTCCACGCGAAGGTTCCGGTACATGCATAGCGCCCGTACAAAGATCAGGTTACCGATCAGTCCGACGAGAGCTGTTATTCCCATCAGTATGAGGACCACGAGCACGTCCTGGCTGAGGGCCATCAGAGGGTCCTCGGCCAGCATCTCGTCCGGTTCCTCCGTCATCATCTGATCCATCAGTATCTCAAGGTAGGTTGCAGATGTCGGTTGTTGTGCTTACATTTCACTCTGATGACTTCACAGGATGCTCAAGAACTCTGAAACACAGAAACATACGTGTACATTACAATGGTCTATAATAGTGAGTGAGTTTAGTTTTAGGCCGCTTTTAGGAATATTCCAGCTGTATTACCGCGGGGAACACCAGAAATGAGCTTCACAACCATATGTCGAACCGAGTGAGTGAGTGAGTATGGTTTTAGGCCGCTTTTAGCAATATTCATGCAATATCACGGAGCGGACACAAGAAATGGGCTTCACACATTATACCCATGTGGGGAATCGAACCCGGGTCTTAAAGCGTGACGTGCAACCGCTTTAACCACTAGGCTACCCCGTCGCCCCGCACTATAGTAGAACTGTTGTATGGCTAATTGGTCTTTCAGTGGGCAACAAAACGTATCCTATCCAATTCTGTAGTGGTTTAAAAGACAAATTTCTATGATTTTCTCCCATTGTATTCCTTCAGAGATTAATATGAAGACTATTCCTAAATATTGATTAAAAAAGTTACTGTATCAAATTAAAGAAATTATATCTGCGCATTCACCCTATGACACTACTATTGTTAATGGCTGTAGAGCTTATGACAACCTATTGTCAGGTTCACACAAAATCAATAGCGCTCTACACACACAATACACAAACAGAAGTACATGATATGCAGCAGGGGCTGTGGGATAGCCTAGTGGTCAAAGAGTTCGCTCGAAGATCCGGGTTCGATTCCACAGATGCGTACAACATGTGAAGCACATTTCTGGTATCCACCGGCGTGATATTGCTGGAATATTGCAAAAAGCGACGTACCTCCACGATATTAATCTTAGAAAATTCCACGTTTCATTATCCAGATTTAGATGCCCTTCACATGATCTTATGATCGAGAAGGGCAGTTATTATAATATTCAAAGAGAAAACAGATTGTGCAAATTTTGTGAACTAAATGTAATTGAAGATGAGTTCCACTTTTTGCTGGTATGTCCCTACTATGCTGATTTAAGGACAACATATCTACCACAATATTACTATTCATATCCATCCATGTTTAAATTTAATTTGCTAATGAACTCTAATAATACAACTTATATTTGCAAACTTGGTATGTATATCCACCATGCTATTGAACATAGAAAACAACGTTTGCAAACATTGTGATTGTATACCATTATTGTTGTCATACTTTGTACTATAGGCCTGTAGCCTCTTCAGTAATGGAATAAAGAGAGTTGACACGGAATCAGTCTTGGACTGAACACAAGATCTATTATTACTCGTCCTGTGCAAAGTGAATTACGTGGGGTCCATCCTCGGTCTTATCGTGGACATCTGGACTTATGACAGTGATAACGATAACGGCGCGGTACAATCATCAGGTCAGCTTTGATTAGTTCTTCGAGTGAGTGAGTGAGCGAGCGAGGTTTTACGCCGCGTGTTTTTTCATCAACAGATTCGCTTGAAAGGATTGATGTCTTCTACGTCAATCCATTATAGTGATGAAGCATTCAGTTATCGTAATGCAGGCAAATCTTATCAGGAACCAATGATAAGGAGATTCTGGCGCATGTAGGGGACGCAACCCTTCATAGCAAACAGTATCGACCTTTACACGCTTATGCCCTTAAAGACTATATATAGTCCGTTTGGCTCAAAATCGGACCGATGAATTGCAATCTAACTCAAAAACAACTAAACATAGAATACTCAATGAAACACTTATCATAATCATAACATCAGACCAACTCTGTGATTGTTTTTGGCAGAATTTATGACCTAAAAATAAAAACGTTGTTTAACAAACTATCATTAAACTTTTGACACAGTTCATTATTTGTTACGAGGGAGGACTGCAAAGGGAGGAACAGCCAGGTGTACGCGAAGCACGTGCACAAGTACCGACAAAGTCATTCATTCATTAACCTGTGCTGTACCGTCTCCATCCTTTCTTGCACACCTGGCTGTTCCTCTCTTTGCACCCCTCCTTCGTAACAAATAGTGAACTGTGTCAAGATTTTATTGATAGTTTGTTAAACAACCTTTTTTATTTTTTTTATTTTTAGGACATAAATCCCGAAAACAAATCACAGAGTTGGTCTGATGATATGATTATGATTAATGTTTCATTGAGTACTATATGTTTAGCAGTTTTCGAGTTAGATTGCAATTCATCGGTCCGATTTTGAGCTAAACGGACTATACATGTACCTTGTTATAGCTTCTCAGCAGTATGTCGCATGTGCACGTGACTACACTACTAAAGCTAATTTATTCCAAGTTTCTTTTTAAAACAATATACTGTCGAGTTCTTTTCACAGTCCATAAATGTTGATGCTAGAAACACAGCGGCGGTCGTGACGTACACATTTTTTCGAAACAAAGACATAATGGCACCATTTATAATAGACAAAACGATGAGAATATACTGTGTGGTATGCACTGCTACTGTGCAGATGTTATGAGTCAGACAACAGTGGCCACTACTACAACAGCAACAGCAGCAGTAGCAACGACGACGACGACGACGACGACGACGACAACAACAACAACAACAACAACAACAACAACAACAACAACAACAACAACAACAACAACAACAACAACAACAACAACAACAACAACAACAACAACAACAACAACAACTACTACTACTACTACTACTACTACTACTACCATTTGGTAAATAGTTCAAGTTGCTAAAATGCGCAAGTAACACTACCTAAGTAAGCCAATCTATGTTAATAGGAGACATTGTTAGCTTGTCGTTGCAGTCAGTCCGATATATGAAGCAGCTGTTGTCACTGCAGGCAGGTGGCCGCTTTACAGAATAAAGTCATTTTTGAAAACCTTGACGACTGCGACAACTACTACACTACTAACAATAGCAGCTTCGACAACGGTGATCGAGTAGCTAGGCTAATCCCTGGATTATGTTGTATTCCGAGAATCGCCATCATTATGAACTTGGGTCGGATTGACCTCCCATATTAAGCTGACAGTAGGATATCACTGAAACGCTGTACCCAGGCTAGGATTCAGCCAAGTGGCGACTAAGGTGGTCAGGCACGCTGATTTCATTAATGTAAGTCATCCTAGCCAAATTGTTTAGCTCGATGCTCATGATGGCAATCACTGGTCTATTGGCTACTAAGGGGATCAGGTGGTCAGGTACGCTGATTTCATTAATGTAAGTCATCCTAGCCAAATTGTTTAGCTCGATGCTCATGATGTCAATCACTGGATCATTTGTTCTTGACTCGATTATTTACAGACCGTTAAAATTAAGGTGGAAAATTGCCGGGTTCGGCGATAAAAGACAACCTGGTGTTTAACCACATAAACCGCCATGACCTTGACCTTTTTTTAAAAACAACATGGCCACTTACAATAAAAAATGTCATCAGTAACATGTGTTCAACTATACCATCACGACACGTGTCAGCGTGATGTATTTGCTTCTATGAAAGGGACACCAGATTCATCCTAAACCTTATCGCAGATGAATCGAAAATAATCCTGTTTGAAATATATACTCACGGCAGCAGCTGCTTGAACCTATCTGACAAGGCCGATGGAACAGCATGGCAAACATCGCGCCATTATGCCTGTAACTCATCCTGCAGAGGAGTCTGAGTAAAAGGTGGGCTACCCTTCTTCTTATATATTCAACATCACTAATGATATGCACGGCTGGATTACAGAACAGTTCCTTCCAAGCCAATGAAAACTGGTCAAAGGTGACAGTCAGCCTTGAAACTACTGATGTGATCATCACAGAGGACCAATAGGAAATCTTCAAGAAGGCATGACAACCAGCATCCTCACAATCTATTGACACACGACTGGAAGAAATCGATTATTTATCCTCTTGTATTTTAAGAATACATATTGATCAAATATTGAATTGGATCGGATGTCATTGGTCTTGTTGAAGGGGACAACAATCTCCCTGGCGAGGTTCGTGTTAGAGAGATATTTCAATAGCAGTCACCATTGTGAAAACTTGTGTTTAATATTAACTTTGTTAAATTACAGGACATTGTCACTGTAACAATTGTGGTTGAAATTTGACGGATTCAACAAACATTTCCTACTTCCACAAATGCAAGCCATCATGTTCACCGTTGTCACAGACACCGCACACCATTTAATTCAAATGTAAGTTCATTGACAGTTTAAATGTTTATGTACGAATCTCTTTTCAACCCATCTCCCCAAAAAACAAACAAAACAAAACAAAAACAACAACAACAACAACAACAACAACAACAACAAAAGTCCGAGTGAAACTCAGTAAAAGTCAGAATGCCAATTCCAATACTGTCGACTGTATTCCCCAGAAACGAAGCAGACACAACGCATATATATTTCTCCTTAAAAGTAATTCAAAGGACCCAGCAGAGCAAACTGTGGCAGTTTAGAGACCCCAGATCCGGAACTTTTCTGTGGCTAAAGTTTTACCAGTACATGTCGAGAAGAGCGAGCTAGAAGTCATGCCGCTTGTTGCATGCTGTCGTCCGATCGATGACAATCGCCGAGCAAGTCAGACATTCCCAGACTCTTTGTTTAACTACGTGGATATTCTGTTTCTAGTTTTACGAAACCCGATGAGGGAAGACTTGTAGTAGCGTCCGACAACTTGACATATTCTCGAAAGCAATCTTCTTACATGTCTTTTACGGCTTCGGACAACATTTTGAATCCCCAACGCGTGTCAATATACAGCGCGAAAGAAACTTGTCAACATCAACCATGTTCACAGTTTTCATTGATTTGTATCCCTGAAGTAGTTAATGGAGTTCAGATAATCTAATGCTGTCTTCAGCATTATTTGGCGTTGGTATTTATTTCCCTAAAATGAGCATTAATTGACGTAAATAGCAACATGAAGGCCTTGGATTGGATCCTCAATGTGATTCTGTTATGTAAATACCCATGAGAACGACATGTTCACAAGACAAGGATATGTCACAGTGAAGATGTGATATATAAGCAGATATTTCTGTTGACGATTACATGCCGCACTTCCAGACATATTTTTATCAGGTTTCTACGAATGGTCTCTTGGCAGTAGCCAATGCCCTCTGGGATTTGACACAACGTCTTTTCAGTACAGAATCGTCCATTTCCATCACGACCTTATCATCGATATGCATGTACAATACAGTGGTATTTAATACTGACTGCACAGCAGAAGAGTGAGTGCGTGAGTGAGTGAGTTGGGTTTTACGCCGCTTTTAGCAATATTCCATTAATATCACGGCGGGGGACACCATAAATGGGCTTCACACATTGTGCCCATGTGGGGATTCGAACCCGGGTCGTCAGCGTGACGAGCCGACGCTTTAACCATTAGGTTACCCCACCGCCCCTGCACAGCAGAAGAACGTGTCCTCTTAAACATTATATCATGGCAACAAACATACTTGTTTGTTTATTGTTTGACGCCGAACTCAGCAATATTCCAGCTATATGACAGCGGTCTGTAAATAATCAAGTTTGGACCAGATATTCTGGTGATTGACATCATGAGTATCGACAAATGCAATTGGGATACAATGACACGTGTCAACCAAGTCAGCGAGCCTGACCATCCAATCCCGCCAGTCGCCTCTTACGACAAGCATGGGTTGCTGAAGAACAATTCTAACCCGGATCTCCACGGGTCCAACATAATGGCAGCCATTATCATGACGTTAGTAGCAATCGCTGAAACACTAAACACTTTCGGTTCAAAACTCTCTTATGCTGGATCATATGCTTCAGCTAGGAAAATTTCACGTTTTTTTCATTTTCATCCATGGATGTACACTTTCCTTTTACACGGCGCTTCAGTTAAATTAAGTGTAAAATAATATATATCTACACAAAGACCAAATCCCAGACTCGTGAAATACTTTCCAACAAAAAAGTTAATCATTAATTGATGATTAAAAATGAAATACAAACTTGAAAGCATTCCTCAACAGTCATTTCAGCTTGGGGGACATACTCGTAGCTTCGTCTATCGATTTTCCTTGAGTAACAAAAGTACATATACGTGAACTTCACAAAAGAACATGTACGACACAGGTAGCAGCTGAATGCTTACTATAAGGAACACGTGGGCGGGTCAGGTCAGTACTGGTCATTAGGCACTAGGTTCAAGGACTACGTGGGAATATCACTATGTAACTTCATCGACATGAACCCCGATATACCTTAAGGGCTTAGGGTTAGTTAAGGGCCTCGTCACCAAATGAGCTTTCTGATGATTGAAGGTATGTGTTATCGTAGCTCTAGGTCTTTAGCGTGGCCAAGATCGGAGAGTCAGAATTATGTAGTCATCATGTCACACTACAAGACCTGAAGAAAACAAAACCTACATTCAAGTCGTACATGAAATGGACAAAAGAAGGTCACCTTGACCACGTACCAATACTTTGGTCATGACACACGACACATCACGGCATGTCTTCTTGAGAGGACGCCGAATTCGTATTTAAAATAATAAAAATTTGGCTTCAAAATAAAGTGTGTTTTTTGCGAGAGAGTAACCAATCGGGGATATCATTTTCACCATGCGTTCCTCCGGTTATTATAATTGATATTTATTTTTTATGATGTGACATTATAGTGATTTCGCGCCAGACGCTTCGGCCAACCCTCTGGACTGCTGCAGTTTATAATATACGACGCTCTCTGGTTCAGTGACAATTCTTCTTTATTTGCAAAGAGAAACCATGCAGATATTAATGTGTGATCCATGATGATAACTGTTGGAAGAAAAGGTTCAGTGTTCACATTCCGTGATCTTTAGTCTGGGAGAAGTTCTTCGTCTGAAAAACAGCTTCCTGGCGTTTGAAGCACCGACATTCGTTACAAACCGTTTTAGACAAGGAAAGGATATAACGTGCTTGTTTTTGGATACGATGTCACTGGTATAATGATGCGTGGGTGTTGATTGGCTACATTACACGATACACACCTACAGCGGAGACGGCGGTCCTTTCAGTTGGATTCAGAAATCACTTCCAGGACCATTAGAGGCGACAATCCATCACACTCCCGTGACATGTCGTTCGTTAATGGCGTAGACAAAGGAATTATATAAAATTATATGTGAATGTTTGCTGTCAGTCAAGTAGAGTGAGTGAGTGGTTGAGTGAGTATGGTTTTATCAATATTCCAGCAATATAGTCGCGGGGGACACCAGAAATGGGCTTCACACATTGTATCCATGTTGGGAATCGAACCGGGGTTGTGACGAGCCAACGCTTTAACCACTAGGCTACCCAACCGCCCCGTCAAGTAGACAGATTATGACTGCACGACATTGTTTTCCAGAACGCCCGGCATGGTTTTATTATATACCTCGTAAATCCCGAAGACATATAATTTACCTCCAGCATTTTAAGAAACAGATCATATTTGTTAATATAAAAAATGGAATTCTGTTATCCAACATACAGAGTATATGTTACTCTGACGTACTTACGTGTCAGGTATGCATATCATATAGAGATCTATTAGGGAATGTACAATAGTATATGGACAAGTGTTAGATACATATATCAGATGTTCACTTCAGCTGTTAAAGATGATAGGGGTTGACACATATATGCCATTTTATTGTCCTTTTTACAGTTTCTCTACATGCAGGCAGTTTATTGCTTTATAAACAGTAACGTATTTCGCTTTAGTTATATCAATCCAAAGTTTTGTATTACCCCAAATCCTTATTCAGATCAATTCCACTAACTAACTTTTAGTACATACCGTGGTTCATGATATAACAATGCCATGGTCAAGTATTATTAATTAATACCCATCCATAAAGGGCAGAAACTACGGATCTAAATAGGTCACCAGAAAAGTGGATGGATGGTTGTCCAGTTTGACCTGTGTGGTTGGATAGGTGTTGATGCTATCAACCACTATTCATCATCCAGAAGGCTTATTAATGTAGATGCAACATATAGTGCGTCAGTATGCCATTATGCCCGTTTTAGGAATATCCCATTTGGGTAGTCGAACCCAGGTCTTCATGCTGAGTCAACATGGACATTATTACATTATTACCCAAGATAACCCAAGCTGCCTGTGAGGCGCAAGAAGGTTAATGGGTCATAAGACCTATCCCACCGGGTACCCATGAACAGAGGCAATTTTGAACAAACACACTTGCCTAAGGCGAGACCACATGTGTCACGAGTGCTTCGTTGTGGGGCAGGACAGAAGTTCCAGTTAGGCTGCCAAACGTGGTCAGCCATGCAAAGACTCCACTACCGACGTTGTATAACTTCGACTGCTTGTGACCTGGGCACAATGCACAAGACCACAAAAAAGCAGTCGCCATTGTGTAAAGTTTTAATACATACCTGATTACTCATGCAGTATATAGATCGTATCACCGAGCCAGCAACACCTGTGTAAATAGTAGATACTGGCTCAGTGGACGAATGCGGCTATTACGTTTTAGTAATAGTGTTTTAAGTGGGTTAAAACAGTTTATCCCTCAAGAAAAACAACTCTATAACTAAAACAACTGTCTTTGGACTATGATCGGTTGGTATGGAGGGACCCACTTATTGTTCTCATTGCGTCAATATGGTCCTCCTCAACAGAGACGTGTTCGGATATACTGGCTGTCCAACTAGACTGACTGACTGAGTTTGGTTTTACGTCGCTTTTAGCAATATTCCAGCAACATCACGGCGGGGGACACCAGAAATGGGCTTCACACATTGTGCCCATGTGGGGATTCGAACCCGGGTCTTCGGCGTGACGAGCCAACGCTTTAACCATTAGGCTATCCCACCGCCCCCTGTCCAACTAGAGTGTGCATCAACGGGTCAGTTCAAGCAGGCTCAGATCAAGCAGGCACAGAAATACCTTCTTGGCTTGGAGGGAAGTCTGAAATATTCTATTGAGAATAGTTCCTCTTTGACTGAGACATGTACGTTGTTCCAAGCCACAGCTCTTCAAGCAATTCTGTTTAACGACAGTTGCTGTAGCTACATCACACCTTCAGGGAGGAAAGCGATGGGTGATGCACATTTTAAAGTTTTACCACGTTGATCAAACCTGCTTAGATATATCTCAGCAAGAGAAACATAAGACACTTGGATCGATACAGCCAATGCATCTATGTACCTAAATGCCGGTTTGTACTAGCAGGAAGAGTGAGTGAGTGAGTGAATGTGGTCTTACGCCCCTTTTAGCAATATTCCAGCAATATCACGGCGGGGGACACCTGAAATGGGCTCCAAATAAAGAATCCATGTGGGGAATCGAACCCGGGTCTTCAGCGTGACGGGCGGACGCTTTAACCACTAGGCTACACCATCGCCTCTCCAGGAGGAAGAAAAATAACCTCAAACGATACAAAATGTGTTTTGGAAATGTTACATGTCAGGACTGCATGAAGTGCCTTCCCAACGTATTTGTACTGAATTTGTAAGAAGTATAATCGTGACGAATGTCAAGCTAAAAACCACGCAGCAGATCCTGAAATGACAAAGGGACGCAAATCTGAGCCTACAGGGCGATAGTGGCCCCAACAGAGAAATCGGTTTAAAAATTCACGTACAGGAACATACATACGAAATGTACAGATGCGTAGCCAGTGAACGGTTTTGCACCATATAAATTACCTTGACCGCATATTATCCAGATAGCAACCTCCTACCACTGGTTTCCATGGCAATAAAGAATACTTCCATGTGACCGAGAAAATAGCTGATTAGGCAGGATGTCACCTGTTTCCGGCACAAGCACCATGCGGAGTGCGTGATGGTGCAGATTGGCCTCATTCAAATGATAAGCGCCTTAATAAACATACGGCGCACTAAAGTCTTCATGATTGACAAACACTGACCTATCGATGTTGTGGATCGGCCATAATATATAAAGCAGGTTTATGTGTTTGTTTATTTTGTCAATAAACTCGGAAGGTTTAACCAAAATAGGAAATTCAGATAACTTCAGAAATTATGAAACGACTGATAACGATATTTCAGTAATCGAAAACCCGAGCTCTGCCAGCTCGGACATCTTGATTCTTTTCCGAGAATCCCGAGAATTCCGAATTCTGAGATTCTATACATTATCTATGCTGAATCAACCTCTGTATATTTTTTGCCCTAATATTAGGAAGTGGGTGGGCGCAATGGTGACTTTGACTTGCTGAGCACAGTTGCTTCCCCAAGGCGGCGGACCACACAGTGAGATGGTAGGTTCGAATCCCGCCAGTGTTCTTCCAGCTTTGTCACACTCGATCACAGGGTTTTATTAACGAGGTAAAGGTCTGAGACCGGCATCACTTTGGGTCTTCCTCCCACATCAACAGCCCCGACGTGATGTAATTGAAGTACTGCCCTACGCAATGTTAATCACACCTTCATCTCAAATTACGGTAACAATGGAGTAGCCCAGTGGTTAAAGCGTTCGCTCGTCACGCTGAAAACCCGGGTTCGATTCCCCCGCATAGGTAAAATGTGTGAAGCCCATTTCCGGTGTCCCCAGTGTGGTGGAGCGGCGTAAAACAATACTCACTCACTCCTAAAGGACGCAAGGACAAGTTGAAGGATGGACAGCGATAAAAGGCATAAAAACGTTGTTGATTACAGAAAACAGTCTAGCCTTTGTCATGACTGTTGAATGTATTTATTTGAACAATTTTTTATTTAAAGCCTTATCAAATTTAGATCAAACCAAACCAAGTCTAGATCTCTTGATATGAACAGCAGATAAGGAAAGGTTCATTTGAAAAGTAAATATTGGAATTTATTTAATTATCTTTCAAAGACAAATTGGCATACCTTTACTTTACATTGAAAGAAATGTTAAAGTTCTTTAAAATCGACTTTTAACTCACACAAAAACTTTGAAGTTCAGATTCTATCAGTAGATCGCCTCATATCATCTCTTATATTAAACCAACAAAGTGGTGTCATGATGTCCTTCATTGGAACAGTAAAATCACAGAATATAACAGCGAAATGCATGATCGATATTTTGTGTTAATGTATCGTGGCTTCACTTGCAGTTAACTGACTGACTGACTGAGTGAGTTTAGTTTTACGCCGCTTTTAGCAATATTCCAGCAATATCACGGCGGGGGACACCAGAAATGGGCTTCACACTGTGTGCCCATGTGGGGAATCGAACCCGGGTCTTCGGCGTGACGAGCCAGCGTTTTAACCACTAGGCTACCCCACCGACTCCCTTGCAGTTAACACGACCGTTTAATCATACTGAAGGGGACAATAAATAGTCACATCCGGCCGAACGCCAAAATCAAGTCAAATATGAAGACCTTAAACATCTTGGCATCGTGATTTATCTACATCCTGATTTGTAGAGATATTTCTTCCTTGGGTATTACACAAGATGGGAGCGTTTATCAAGTCAGGAATATGATATACAATGTATAATATTATCCTCTTTACTCATATCTAACACTTAACACCGGATGGGCTGGCGGCATAATGACTAAATGGACAGTTGCGTGTATTCACAGAACCAGCGGTTTATCTTGATGCATGTGGCGCTGCAGCAACTCTTCTATCAACCCATACTCGTTTCCTTTAGTTGACACTTGATAGGTAACTACATAATTGTGATCGAAATGATCTTTAAGCCAACATATTGCCAACGCTGCAATTACGGAAGTCTGGGTGTGAGGAGAAACCTCAATCTCCAGGGATGCTTCCAAAGGAATAACGTTACCATAATCGGTATAAGAGAAACAGGGGTGGTTTATGCAAACGCTCTAAATTCATGGTTTCTTGAGTGCCGTTCGATGTGAAATATATCAATGCAAATCCGAGAGGAACATTACAATAAATCATTGATTGTGGAAGTTTTTTCGGTTGTCAACGGATTTTTGTTGATCACCTGATTATCAAGTTCACGTTTTAGAAAACCTTAAAATATATACGATAAACCATAGCTTCGTAGCCTTGTCAACTCCGGTTTGAGTCCGACTGGCACAATGCTAAGATAAGCCACCTGATAAACATATTGTCGGTCATGACATTGTGTTTGGAAATGTGGAAACACGAGAGGAATTGCGAAAAGGTAGATGTATTCATCATAGATGACGATCTTGACATTTTTAAAACTGCATATGCTTGAACTTCCTGCATGAGCACCGAACCTCAGTATTTTCATTTCCGCCTAGCCCTGCCAACGAAGCAACTCTAAGTTTTCTCAGGTTCAGGGATCTCCAATTTCACTCGGGCTCCTTTTCAATTCAAAGGACTTTTATGTTTCTATCAAAATTATATACATTCAGATACTAAGCGTTAGTCTTACATATATTATTTAGCCTAACACGTAGAACAAATAGCCACCACAACTGAAGAGATAAAGGTCAGATCTGTGGGGGTGGACAACCCTGCGTGAGAAGCTAATAACGCGTGGATATTGTTCCATCCGAAAGAAACTGTCGCGGCCGATTGGGGATGAGGGTCGGCGCTGTCGAGGACACAGAGCAGAGTGAAAACGGAATTGAAAACGACATCTGAACAAGATCCAGTGAAAACCAAAGCAGCCTTTTCTGACTCACCGGTCAACTTCAAGCCTCAACAATGATGGATTAATTTAATAATGGCGGCCGAACAGCGACTGAGCTTTGAAACCTGCCCGACCAGGCGGACAAACATGTCTGAACTGACAACGATAACCTAATGGCCGTCTAGTCAGTCAATGTAAACTGTTTCTGTCTTCCTATCTTATATATGTCTCAGCAGATCCAGTGTATCGCTGGATCGGTGAAGATTGGTTTTACCAACCCATTCTGTTTCTACCCGTGAAGGTCCGGGTTAGAATGAACCTTCAGTAACCCATACTTTCGAAAGAGGCGACTAACGGGATCGGGTGGTCAGGCTCGTTGACTTGGTTGACACATGTCATCGGTTCCCAATTGCGTCGATCGATGCTCATGCTGATGATCACTGGATTGTCTGGTCCAGACTCGATTATTTACTGACCGATTGCTGAGTGCGGCGTAAAACTAAACACACTCACCATTCTGTTTCATAAAGGCGTCTAACGCGACAGGGTTGTCTGACTCGCTGATTTGGTTCATGCCATAGTATCCCAGTTCCGTATATCGATGCTCATGATGTCAATCACTGGATTGCCAGGTTCCGACTCAATCATTTACAGACCGCCGCCATACAGATAAGAACATAGCTGAGTGCGGCGTTAAACATTGTTTTGTCTAAAACGGTGAATGTTAATCATAATGTATCAGTGTACTGGTCTTATATTTGACCCGGTGATACCATCCAAAAAAAGTAGGGGATATTGGATTTACAAGATTGATAAAATGCAGATGATGAAGTCAAGGAGGAAACAGACGATGAAGAGGAATTAAGGTAAAATGTGACAATTTATTCTATTCCTTTGGAAATGTTTCATCTGTTTGGATATATATTACTTTTCTCATATGCATTGGCATTGGCTAGTGGTATGGTGGTAAAATGGAATATCACCTACATTTTGGAATGGTATATAATTCCGTTTCATGTATGCAATCTAAAACACACAACACAACTTTCGGGGATGATGAGGATTTTCTTTACAAACCTGGGTGCTCGTGACATCGGCATTTTTAAACCCGAAGCATCTAATTCGCACGACACAAACTACACGTCAAACTACATATACGATACACAATATGATTACAATGCGTGTAGCCGATTTCTGGAGTCCCTCGTCTGATATTGTTGGAATATTGCTAAAAGCGGCGTAAAACTATACTCACTCATCACAAGTTGTTCGACACCACACCAACGGGTTTCTTGCGTAAATGAATTATTAGCACACTGGCTACCAGATTCAGATAAATAATATCTCGCCTACACTCTCAGGTTTTTAATACATTATTTAACGACCGCACATCACTAGGGTTGACTGATGAGATGCTTGGTCGCTGTACGACCTTCAGGTTTCTCAAGGTCACAGACCCTTAGCACTCCAGTCTTTGTTGATATACCACAATGACGTCATGGAATATACACCAGCAGTTTCTGCTGCTTGGGCTCTGAACCATGACAACGTGTTTCTCACATCAAACGGCAACATAGAATAAAAGACGTTTTTCACTAATTGCGGAGCTCTTTTTATGAAATCAAGTTCGAAAAAACGTTGTATTGGTCTTTTAATTAAAGCATTATGTTGACTGAGTCACTTTGCTTCGGAACAAGTTTTAAACAAATATATATACAGAAAGATCAAGCTGACCCGTGTTTTGAAAGAATGTGCAAGACAAGGAGTATTTCTTTCTGCGAACAAGGTCATAAATTTCCACAGCGGCGGGAAAAATGACATCGGAAAACATTTTACACATTCATGTCGGAATGAACATACAGGGAGGGTCGGAGATGGAAAACACAGAAAATAATCTAGCCGTAGCAGTCAATCCTTGTTTGTTGGGTATTCTGGCATCCCCCGCCGTGATATTACTGGAATATTCCTCAAACCAAACTCACTCACTTATAATGTGACATTCGAAGAGAAGCGAAAGTCCGCACCGCCGCTCACTGCCTCTTACAAAGGCAAATTTCTGACTTTCGTTGCGTCAAGAATCTTTCACGCTATGACGCCAATAAAACTAAAAGTTTCCATAATCTGTATAGATGAATCAGTCGAAAAGGCCACTTGAAATATTTCAACAACATCACGCAAGGAAAACCAGAAATTGGCTTCACTCGTTGCCAGTTCTAGTCTGTCTCTGAACCATATATATCTCTGTTCCAGCCAGTCCTTACAGTAATGCTAAAGCTCTTAGTGAAGCAAGTTGTAGATTTTCGTTCGGGTTTTGAGGTGAGGTGAGGTGAAATTGGGTTTAACGTCGTGCTTGAGAATATTTCGCTCATATGACGACGTGCATGCGTGTGTATGTGTATATGCGGCTGCTTGTACTAGCCCAGACTTAAGCTGGTATCTAGTGCTAGCCCACTGAGATACCATGCCGCAGTGAAGCATGAATACCCCACTCAGACACATTATACTGACTCCGAGCCGACCAGTCCTTGTTGTACCCATTAATGCCGAGCGCCAGGCAGGGACCAACAAGTACCATATTTTAACGTCTTTTGGTATGACGCGGTCGGGGATCGAACCCGCGACCTTCCGCTCTCCGGGCGGACGCTCTAACCACTACACCACGGAGGCGGTCTTCAGATTTGGAATCTTACGCCAACTGGGTCTCCGTTTAAGAAAGAATGATGTTCTTTGCTCCATCAAATTTATATATTTTCAGAGACAAAGCGTTAGTTTATCCTGCGGACAATCGACCCCGTTCACCGACATCCGCATACCAACCCCCACCCACCCTACTAAACCTTGAATCTAAACGAGTGAGTGAGTTTAGTTTTACGCCGCATTTAGCAATATCCCAGCAATGTCACGGCGGGTGACACGAGAAATAGGTTTCACACATTGTACCCATGTGAGGAATCGAACCCGGGTCTTCGGCGTGACGAGCAAACGCTTTAACCACTGGGCTACCCCACCGCCCCCGAATGTAAAAGGTGTATTATTAATAAAAGAAACTCACACACAACTATAATTTTAGCCTCTTGGTAATCATGAATCGCAAAAGAGACATCGTCATATGATACGTGACCCGGATTTTGTCTGCGCTGCGTGATATGACATGTTTCCTTCATTGCGTTGTAAAAAAGCCAGCAGATTCAGTGTACCAAATAAACAACAACGCCATTCTAGCAGAGGTCACGTTATCCTGACAGTAAGTCAAGGCAACATGGCCCACTCAGATTCACATCATACTTAAATACATCGGTCGAATACATGTTTTGCGGTATGTTAAAGAGTTGTTTGTGTGCTATTAAAGCGCCTGTTACTGATAAATTGACTTTTCAGAACATTTAAATCTTTCCCGAGTTAAATTGTATTCATAAACGTCATTGTTAGATTACCATGTGCAGGTGTTCGAGTCTTGAACGAGCAAATCACACTGAATTGTATAAACGTCAATATGATCGCCTACAACCATTATGGTTTAGGGCGGTACTCCCTAGTCTAGTGGCTAAAGCGTTCGATCGTCACGCCGAAGGCCCGGGTTCGGCTCCCCGCATGGGTACAATGTGTGAAGCCCAGTTCAGGTGTCCCCGCAGTCATATTGCTGGAATATTGCTAAAAGCGGCGTAAAACCATACTCACTTATTATGGGTTAACTAACGATTGGTTTGCGGGGGAAAGGTAACAGCCTATTGCATTCACTTTACTCATGTGATACCTACTCTAGTTGGCTGTTACGCCAAGAGCGTTGCACTCCACTGTTGAGCGCACGTTACAACTAACTATAGATCCAGTGGAGCGTTGACGTTATATGACTACCAGCACTCAAGTCGAGATATCCTGACCTATATTAAGGGCAGTAATACCACGCGTGTTGAGGTCAGGGTCAGTGTCAATAGATAAATCCTTGAGGACTATATAAGACTTTTTCATACCGTACTATACCCATCAGGGGAGGTGAGCATCCTTCATGAAACTTGTTATATTTGGAATTACAATTTCTCGGTAAAGAAGAGATTTTAGAACCTTTTAGTTTGTTTCGGGATTTGGTTCGGTTGGTTGGCTATTTAACGCCATGCTCAGCAATATTCCAGATATTTGGCGGCGGTCTGTATATAATCGAGACTGGACCAGACAATCCAGTGATCAACAGCATGAGCATCGGTCTACGCAACTGCGATACAATGACATGTGTCAATGAAGCTACATATGCAAAACAAGATATACTTATAATGAATACTACGTGCCGAATAATATTTGTAGAAAAAAACCCACCTTGCAACAATAAAGCGTGCAAACAATTTCATATTTAAAGATTCTTTTCCACCTATTTACAAACACTTTATGAACTGCCATGGCCAGCTGTTACAGCGAGCTAAATCAAGACATTGTCTGTAACGTTTGAGGCTGCCTCAGGACCACCGGGCATAGTAAAGGTGAGCTAAAATGGGGAAATCTGTCGTCAGATGGCGACATACCAGGGAGCAAGTACCATATCCCATTAAGACATATATATAGCATTGTCTAAGTGTTAACTGTGTCAGGGGCATTCCAGCCCGAATGAGTCATTACAAGCGTTTAGGCTGACACCTCGATTAGGACAAAGCGACATCTATACAAATTCGCAGATAACGTTACATTACAATGGCTTCATGTTTTCTTAACAGCGTGTAAAGGTTATTATTAACTGTATAGATATATGTTTCCTTATAGACGTTGTATGCAACTGACTACACGATAAACGTTCTCTTCAAGGTAAACATCGACCGATGTTCAAAGGTTGGAAGGCCTTAAGTAACACGTGACCAAAATACGTTGGAGTTACTGTGTGCGCTGAACACCAGGGGTACCGCTTAAGTACCACTTTGGGATTATGTGGGGAAAACCTACCTGACGCTAAAGTAGCACGCTAAAGAAAGCCTTGTTTTGAAATTGGAATAGGTGTACGAATGTTCTTTAAAGAGAAAGTAGCTCAAGCCATGTGTGAAACAATTTCTTCGAACACCATTTTTTTTTGCTTTGCAAAATCAAATAGAGGAAAGAGAATACTCCAAACAGGGACCGGAATATTCTCTGTTGAGGGGACAACTTGTTAATCTGGGCAAGTTCCCACACGACATATTCCACTGACGATACTACGGGGTAGGTGTAGTGTATCCCTAATTTGGTCCACCATAAACCGCCACATGGGAATATATTAGACTACAATGACACCATGCTAAGAAACCAGCTTACCGTCTGCCTGTGAAAAGGTGTCATGTTTTAAGGGCTTGGGGTTTGGGGGTTGACTAACGCTTTTAAATTGAAAAGGAGCCCCAGTGAGTTGGGGGATTCTGAACCTGAGGAAATCTAGACTTGCTTCATTTAGGGCTTTAGCATTGCAGAGAGGGATAGGCATTTGGGAAAATAATGTAGTTCAGGGACTGTGAGACAGACTAGGGTGATACAGCAACCAACGATTACCAACTGTGGAACTGTGATGAACGATAGTCCACGTGACTGACTATTTCCAATAAATATGGATTCTTTAGCATGCAGACAAGACGAGAAGGGGCGCCATATTGTCAACCACAGACGACCTTGGAAATGGTCATTCAATAAATCAATTCAGGGGGCTTCAATAATTACATCAAGCTCTGAAGCAAAATGTTCCTGTCGGTTAAGATGGCAGTTAAGTAGAAGGCTTACTACAACCTACTTCTATTTCCGTGGGCGCTTCTCAAATTACGTGGCATATTTGTGTTCTCCGTGACTAATGCCTCAGGCGACGAAGCACATACTTTGGTAAAGGTACTAGTTTAAACCTTTACCATTCTCGAGTCTGTGACAGGCAGTTAGGAGTCGGGAGAACGTGAATACGCGACCCCAGTATCATTCTCCTGGACTTTATGGGAACTTTGGAACAGCCGTGTCAATTTCAATTATTTCGGTCAATGATCAGATAAATGGATTATAGACACTTGAATACTTTAGCCTCGTCTGAGTAAGCTAATGTTGTTTAACGCCTCATACGGGTAGAATAACATCTAGTCTCTGAAATGAACATATTTCACAGAAAAGTTGGTTTATAAATCATAATAATACAATAAAATAGGAGCCCCAGAGATTTTCTTTCTTCCTTTCTAGGGTAACCTAGTGGTTAAAGTGTTTGCTCGTCGCGCCGAGGATCCGGGTTCGATTTCCCACATGGGTACAATATGTGAAGCCCATTTCTGGTGTCCCCCG